GAGCAATTAATATTATATTTTTAGTAACACTACGTCAAAACATGGCTGCCCACTACCTGTCTCCTATGCAAGTCAGAAAAGGAGTGACGTAGGAGCGAGTCTGACGTATTAGAGCAGGTTATCCAGTCTACGATTGATGATTCAGTATTGTGTCCAATCTCGCGCCAAATGGTCCGGGAAAGATAACTCACAATACCGAGTGAGAAAGACGAGATAGTACAGTCCCTTGTTAAGTGATCGGCTGTTGTTATCTACTGGTATAAGATATTATGGTACCGTACGGTACGGACGGCCTGCCGTTGTTACCAGTAGTATAAGGATTTTGTTACTAACATTCCTTATAGTAGTGGGTAACATTGCTGGATCGGGTGCAGCAGCATGCCACGACTCATGACAGCTCAGATAAACCAGGCGCATGGAAGACTTGACGCTGGCCACACTGCCCAAGTCGTTGCCAATCACTTCCAGGTCAATGTTCTGACCATCTACAGGCTTCAGCAACGCTTTCGGGCCACCAACACCACGGATGATCGCCCCCGAACTGGTAGACCAAGGGTTACCACAAGGCGACAAGACCGCCATGTTGTGCGACAGCACGTGCAGAATCCCTTCACAGAGGCATCTCAGACAGTGCGCAGACAGTGGGAACATACGGAAGACCCATCAGTACTGATACACCAGAGAGAACATCCATTGCCGTAGACCAATTAATCACTAATTAATGTGTCAACATACTGTTCACAAAAAATTGCTTTGATCCATTTAGTAAGTCGTTTTCTAGAATGATTTGAATAAAGTGCCTCTCTGATTTTGAAATCGTACTGACAGGGTTTTTTGGGGTTTTTTTTTTGTTTTTTTGCTGTTTAGTATATTTCACATTTATTACAAAACAATTTAACTAGAAATATTGATAATATGTACATATAACCCCACACACTCCCTGTTCAGAAAAGTAGGATGTTAAATCCCAGTTCTTATTCCTTTTAACCCAATTGGCAATGGACGTTCCCTGCTAATATTAAAAGGTTCAAACACGAAACCAGTGACCGGTAATTGACCACAATAAAACCAGATGGTAAATGTAGTCTATGGAGTGTTTGCAAGAAATTGTGGACAGGGATCTAAAGCGATCAGTTGTACATAAAAATAATTTTACATTGAGCCTGTGGATACCTTTAAAATATTTCAAATAACTTTTAAACTAATAATGCTAATTTAGAAGGTCTTGTAGCATTTTACACACTAGGCCTAATCATTCATGTTGTTTTAATTACAAACCAGTGGATTGAACAGGCTAGCGCTGGCGACTTTTCAGCTGTTCGACCTAGATAACTACTGACAAACTCGGTTCGGTTCCCATTATTAAAACAGACATTACTATTTTGTATAATGTATTTCATATTTTCATCTGTAACACTAATAAATGTTACTTTACACGGAAAATGGTGATTATAACTTGAAAGCCCCAACTCACACAAAATCTCCACCATTATGATTTTCTATACAAGAAGTAAAATGTAGCCATTGCGCATGTAACTAACTTTCAACTTTCGAGGCGAGAGTCGCCGTTAAGCCAGAGCGACGAAAAGGTCGCGGATTTTTTTGGGCGACTTTTTCGTAGCGCTGGCTTAACGGCGACTCTCGTGTTGTGAAAGTTGAGGGTCGCCGTGCCTTTTTCGTCGTACTGGGGGAGGGGAGGTTGTTGTTGTTTTTTTTTTTTGGGGGGGGGGGGGGGTATATCATTGTTTAAACGGCAAAATGTAAGAAAGGTCATTGGCTTAATTTTCAGCCCTTTTGAAATAAAGTAATTGTTATTATTATTATTATAACATTTAGGATATTATTGCCCTGCGTTGTATAATCCATACATTACGAGTTATGTAGAACCTAGATAGGCCTATAGACTGTACAATACATACATAATAAGTATGATTAAACTTCGAACTGTCCGTCTACTGGAAAATAACTCCGCTAGTATGTCATTCATGAATTAAACGCTGGGTTCCCATATAAAATTAAAACAAAACAAAAATCGTTGTAATGATCGTGCGAACACGTGACATACCGGCAATCAATAACGACTACATGATGACGTGACATTTTCTACTGTCTACTTGAAAGCAGACTAGAATATTCTGTATAATAAGGTACGTAGCCTATTTTGTGCTTCATATGATCTTTTGGTTACAAATGTACACATATTCGGTTATTAGTTATTCGACTTCATGTTGACCAGTCTAAATGTAAATGATTTATTAGGGGCTTTTTTTTTTTAAATGAACCTTTTAATTTATATGACATTGTGTTGTGTATAATGTTATGACTGTTGGGGGTTTAATCCTACCGTTATAAATATTATGCAAATCAATAATTATTGTGATTATTAAATATAATAAGCCTAGGGTTTGACAGTTACTGCCACTGGTAATATATTAATATAAATCGAAGATAAATGCAATACACCCAAGGAACATTGGGGATTAAGTTACGGACAAACAGTTTATAAAATGTAATAAATATTACAAAATTTCCTTTTAAATATACAATGTTTTATCTGTGCATAGGGAAACTTACAATCGTTCTCACAGTTATATCCTTCTTGGCATGAATTATTGATCCCAGATACCCCCCTGTTCCACCTAAAGCTTTTTATTATATGGGATACGCTAACTAATTATATTAACGACGTCCAAGCATGCAATATGGTCCAAAATTAGTAATCGTTGTGGCACAAGTACCTATTGGAATCATTGAGAATTTACTCCGAGTTAAAATGGTTCTTAAAATGATCTGAACTTGCACGGTTGCATTTGGTAATTATAGTATTTATGGGATGGAGTCCAAAACACACCTGATAACTGATTTAATAAATCAGAATAGTATTATTTTGGGGGTAGTTATTTTTCCATGTCTGGAGAGAGGATGGGACAGTAGGTTGGGGTGAGTGGGTGTTGGGGGTGGGGGGCTCCATACCTCCTATCCGATTAATATCAGCTGAAGTCTTTTAAAAGTACCTTTACTATGTAATTTTTTGAAAATCTTGTATTCACCACTCTTAACTGCACCGTGCTTATTTTATGGGCATTTGTTAAAACAAGGATAGTGACATTTGGTTTACTGTGATATATATATCGAACCATCAAACTAAACTCGTCAGACTAAACCAATTGAAAGATTATCTACTTCAACAAAATTATCCAATTAAACTGATTCTGGAGGCAAACAAAAAGCCCTTTCCCTTGATCAGACCAAATTAAGGGAACCTTAAATTTACCAAAATGTTCCAACTAATAGGGAAATAGCGTTAGTTGCAAACTTCAACCCATCACAAGAGATAGGTAAATAAATATATGACAAACACCGCCATATTCTTCAAAATAGTGTAAAAATTAGCCAAATTATTAATCAGACCTCAATAATTATTAACAGTCTTAACCGCATATTTTACGAACAATGTTGACATCTTCCAAATTTGATTTCATATCTTCGACCCCCACAGTTTCTCAGTGTAATGATAATCGATGTTTAACATGTAATGATGTTATCGAAGGGTCGTCATTTCACTGTCACAAATCATCAAATATTTACAGTCAAACAAAATATGAATTGTAAATCAAATAATGTAGTTTATTTGATGATATGTGCAGGTTGTAATGGTAGATACATAGGGATAACATAATTGCAATTAAGTAGACGAATGAACCTCCATTGTTCTCAAATTAAAAACGCAGAAAAGAGAACTATTCCTTTAAGCGAACATCTAGATCACTGTAGCGGAGGTAAATACACCGTTTTCCCTATGTATAAATTAAATGTAGCAAACCAAGCGCTATTAGAAATAAAAGAAGCATGTTTATACGAAAATATAATCCCGAACTTAATATTAAAGTCTAACTGTTGTCAGAGGCGTAGCCGTGAAATATTGGGGGGTGGTCCGCAACCCTAACCCTAACCCATTTTTTAAAACCCCTAAAAAATATAAACAAACACCATGTGGCCATGCTGTCTACCAAGACACCGCGTGCAAAAGCATTATGGTTACGTTGCTGGCTGAGCGGGCGATAAATATTTGGTTTAGGCGGTAATGTTTTTGGGTACCTACCTGCGATTCACTCTGATAAGTGGCAGAAAAAAATTAACAAAATATTACTGACAGGCTAATTAGACACAATTTTATGGAACACAGGTACTTTTCACGTCACACATGTTTCCAGGATGATTATCTCTGTGTTTTATTTTAGCAGTATAAACCATATTGGGATATGTACAGGTTTTATACAGATAGAATCTTAACTAATCCTAATAATTATTGTAAATAAATAGGAGTTTGGGCCTACAATGTAAATTTTTTTTTTTTTTTTTGGGGGGGGGGGGGTGCCCAAGTATATTAAGCCCCCCCCCCCCCAGAAAAACATATTTATTGTATAAAATATATTTCATTGCATGTGTATATTTTATTGTATATTTAATGATTTAATTTATGTCAGAATGAAGTAAAGTGGTGAATTTTTTACCTGGACGTATTTTCTATTTATTTATTTATGTATTTATCTACCGTAAACATAGAAGTACTTATACTTTATTTACTTTAACATAGATATATATATATATATATATATATATATATATATATATATATATGCGTAAATTTGATTTCAAGGAAGGTTATTTAATCTCCCTTTTAAAAATAATTTCTAAAACATTTATTGCTTGCTTTTAAAAAAGTATGTGTACTAGTACTACTCTTTACAAAATCATTATATATATGTTTAGACGTATGACTAATATAGTGCTGGACGGGCAATTTGTTAGTGCTTCGGAATCGATATAGTAAGTAGTGTAAGACGGGGCGCTAGCATTAAAAATGAAAACATTCATGTCCTTCAGTGAGAATAAATTCATTTCCCTAAACAATATCAGTATTATAATATTTGTATACTCATGTTATTTCCCCTTCGTGTGGGTGTCAATGATTATAATAGTAAACATCCTTTTGATATTTTGTGACCTATTAGAGGCACGGGTCTGTTAAATAGCAGAAGTAGAGCTTGATACAACCTAGAAAGACTTCATGTAATTCAGAGCCTGATAAGTCATCTAATACAACCTGTGGATAATTCACTTCAGATGGCGGGGATGGAGTAGATTTGGTGGGGCATCTATATGTCTGCTAAAGACAGTATTTTTATATATAAACGACTGATAACTGGGTGAAATTTTCACTCAGTGGAATTCATAGCTGCTATGGGTAAGTCTTTATTATCAGTGAGAAGGTTATCCCAGAATAATTCTCGGCATTTGTAATAGGATGACCTAGATATAATTTACAACTACGTGTGTTTTGTATATTTGATCAAGGATTATTCGAGTTTTCTGGAATGTATACAACAATGTTTTATTCAGCCATTATTTACAGGAAATGTGTAATTATACACCCTGTAATACAAACGGAACGTGAAATATTTACTGGGTTAGTGTTATAGTCTATAATTGGAAACTATGTTGCCTGTTCGTATAATTTATGCATTCAATATGGCGATAGATTCAGCTGGACTGGAAATAAAGAATGTTTTTAAATTTGTTTTTTTTTTCTATTTAATACATATAGTTTTAGAAATCTGTTAAAGTTCATGGTGGATGCCATAAAAAAGAAATTCACGTTATTAGATTTTAGGCTTTGCTCTTGAGTTGACATTTATTGACAAATTACTTTGCGTAAAATTGGTCAAGGGGAAGTAAGCTATATATAGTGTAAAAAGGTGTGAAAACATTTAATAGGTGTAAAAATATATACACCCCTTCATATCTCTTGTGAAGTATACCGGCATGGTTGTAACCAAATCTGAATTGTCTTTAATAATTAAAAGTTAATTGTCATCCATACTACGAGAGAGAGATACGTTGGCTCTGTGATGAAGGCTCTGACTAACTATAACTAGGTCACTTGTTTCGATCCTGGCAACGACCAAGAAATTTCCCCAGGAATTTTCAGCGTGGATTCTGATTTTCAGTGGTGCAGGACAGAGAGCCTATATCCTGTATGTCCGTCTGCAATAGCTCGGTTGGGACAGAAAAGTAGGACGTTAAACCTAATTTCATTTTGTTTGACGGGATGAAAAAACAAAGTCCTGTGTAGTTGTCGGTTGGTGCACGTAAAGGAACTCTTGGCAGTTTGTAGGTAGAAATACCGCTATCTGGTCTTTAAAACCCATTTCATTTCATGAAACATTTATTCAAATGACATAGATGATGAATACATACATTGTCAAAAAGCAAGGATTCCAAAACAAGCCAAGGGTTTATATTAATTTGTCTCCTTATTTAATAAATATACTACAAATACAATTATGATATGTACACTTCATATACAAAATAAATTTAGCAGTACAATATTTTATACTTGCTATTAATCGTGCATATAAGTAAATTTGATAATTTGTGTCATTTCTAATGCATTGCCATTTCATAACATGCTTGCATTGTATGATGTTTTGAAGACGTCAGATGTATATAGTTACCAAGAAAGTAATTGATTCAAGTAATATTTTACTATGTTTATTGGAGTCTTCAGTTTTGAATCCAAGGATTTGTGGGGGAACTAGGATAGACAAGTAACTTGGAGACATTTTATTCACCATTTTGTAAAACAGAGTGGAGTTGGTTTATGGCGATATGGTCTAATTCAAGCGAAATGAACCCAGGTTCTTTATATAATAGATTATGAGAAATAAATCTCACTAATCCAGTGATCGTTCTCAGGGCATCAAGATTTAAGTTTTCAAGTACATTGTACAGTACTTTTGTTTTTAGTACAGTTATTCCACGGTGTCTGTGATTCTCCTAAAACTGTGAATGGCGAACACAAAAAATAGGAATAATGACTTGATGATCGAGATTCCTCTATTCCTTGCATATTTTTTATTCTGCTGTAAATATTAGAACTTATGGAAACTCCACAACGAAACGAAGAAATGCCATTTGCTGATAATACCAGAAGGCATATGTTTTAAATGCCATTTAAAGACATGTCTTATATTCACTTAATTCATTAAATATTCGCGTATATGTGTTAATAATTCTACACTGATGAAATAATAATTATTGTCCCCCGCCTTTCGAAGAAAGCAGGGGACTATTAAAATGGGTTCGTCCGTCTGTCTGTCTGTCTGTCCGTCTGTCTGTCTGTCCGTCACACTTTTTGGGACACAATAACTCTCTTCCTAATTGAGCTAGAATGTTCAAACTTGGTGTATGTGTTTATTAGGTCAATGCCTTGATGGAGTTCGAAGATGAGCATTTTCCGCTTAGGGTAAGCAGAGATAAGCAATTTGATTGGTTGATGCTTTGGGACACGATAACTCTCTTCCTAATTGGGCTAGAATGTTCAAACTTGGTGTATGTGTTGATTAGGTCAATGCCTTGATGGAGTTCGAAGATGAGCATTTTCCGCTTAGGGTAAGCAGAGATAAGCAATTTGATTGGTTGATGCTTTGGGACACGATAACTTTTAATTGAGCTAGAATGTTCAAACTTGGTGTATGTGTTTATTAGGTCAATGCCTTGATGGAGTTCGAAGATGAGCATTTTCCGCTTAGGGTAAGCAGAGATAAGCAATTTGATTGGTTGATACTTTGGGGCACGATAACTCTCTTCCTAATTGAGCTAGAATGTTCAAACTTGGTGTATGTGTTGATTAGGTCAATGCCTTGATGGAGTTCGAAGATGAGCATTTTCCGCTTAGGGTAAGCAGAGATAAGTAATTTGATTGGTTGATGCTTTGGGACACGATAACTTTAGTTCTAATTAAGTGAGATTGATGAAACTTGGTGTATAGTTTCATTACAGTAATACCTTGACTAAGTTTGATAATGAGCATTTTCTGCTCAGGGTAAGCAGAGCGATACGCAATTTGATTTTTATATGTGTCCTCTAATTATTTTCCTATTTCGGCGGGGGACATCAGCCTCACTGTTGGCTTGTTATTTACAGTTTTTCGACTAAAATTAGATTTCAAGATAATTTAATCTCTCAGTTCTCTCTTAACTTAAATATGAATGGGCAGATTTGTCTGAATTATTGCATACTTTGTAATGTAGACATGATGATACGTCAGTTTGTGGGCCCCACTTTGGAGATCCTGCTGCAGTTACGCCAACGATACGTCGATTCATCAGTCATTCACCTTGCTGCCATGCTTTTTCTGGCTTCTCGAAATCGGTAGAATTCCCATTACACTTGGATAAAATCCCACAACATATTGTATGCAAAACTTTAGTATTGTGAACCAATCTTCAGAATTACTTTATTTCTTCCTGTAGTATTCTATAGCATTCTATAGAATCCAACAAAATTCTATAGGAATCTACACTATTTGTACAGAACTTGACTAAGGATTATACTGACGATGAGGTCACATTAATCATCATATATCACTTTGTCAGCCAGAAAAATTGGTTAAATGAAGATGCAATGCAGATGTGATACCCATTTCTCATGACAGCAGACATTTTGTCATCCATTTCCATGGCAAATTTGAATTCTTCAACATCAGAAACTACCAGAACCATGAAAATTGCAAAAAAACGACAGATTTTTGTCTACTTCTTGTAACAATATGATTATAGATGGGACTATTGCCGAACAAAAGTCCATCTTTCCTAGTTTGATTCATTAAGCATATTTTTAACTGAAAACAGATTAATGTGAAGGAAGATAAGATTTTCTAAAAAGGGTGTGCACGAAATAATAAAATTTCCAAAGACAGATTAATTATGATGCTGTTGTTTAACATTTTCATGTTATGAACTCTATGGGTTGTCAAATCTCTGTACAACCCCGGTAAGTGAGCTACCGACCCTGGTAATAAATTCGGCAATTTGTAACCATAGAATAACCGCCAAGGTATCAGGAGTAAAGTAAAAGCCCACCACATGAGTCCCATCAGTCTGAAGAGTTCAGTACAAACGAAACTATTCACTGACACCCGGGATAACCAAATCTTCATAGCCATTTTACATTAAGTTATAAAGAAGTAGTAATACTGTGTATATGTGTTTAGATATTTGTGTCAATTTCTACATGTAGGTCCCAAATATTAGCGATTTAGCTCCTTTAAGCACAGACATTCCAAATATATTGATATTTGGGATTGTTTGTTATAGGTACTGTTGTACAGTCATTCAATTAAAACTATAGTCCTTTTAGGATATTTAACCCTTTAGCACATGGTACATGTACATATTACATGTAACTACCCCAGTTCATTGAAGAAAATTAGAGAAAAGTGATCGATTAATACAGGTACATCACTAGACATACCGAAACAGTCTAAAGTTGCTGTTCCTTAAACCACCTCAAACCATCCAAGATATGTGAAAATATTTTTCAAATTGACTAGTAAATGTTTCTCCTTGTGGGCCCCTATGAGTGTTTTGATGAAAATTTATCTGTATAGAATAATCAGTTCATAGTTCATATAATAAATTAATGGACCTTGACATTTAATATTTAATTCTCTAGAGGAACTGCACCCTGCCTGAGTATTTCCGATAATTACTGCCAGAGTTATGGCCCTTGATCACTTTGAAAAGTCTTGTGGATGCTCTAGAGGCTGTAAAATACATGGGTAGAAATTTGTTTGCAATAGTTTGATTCCATTGGCCTGTACTGTGGCCCTTGATCACTTTGGAATATCTTGTAATCGCACTAGAAGCTAAAGTTAATATCCGATTGACTTTAAATTTATACACAGTGTTTAAGGTCATGAGACGAAGAATCCCATTGATTTTTCAATGTTTTCCGATAAGTTAATTTCTGATTGACTTTAAACTTATACACAGTGTTTAAGGTCATGAGACACAGAATTCTATTCATTTTCAACGATATCTGATAATTACTGCCAGTATTAAAGCCCTTCTGTGAAATATCTTGTGGACGCTCTAGAGGCTAAATTGTTTAAGGTCATGAGCCAAACAATCAAAACAAATTTTAATGTTTTCTAATAATTATTTCATGGGTTATTACTCGTAATCAGGTTTTCATGTGTTGTAAATGTTCTCGACAACACTTGTTGACTGCTCGGACGACTTAGCTGCTGTGGGCTTATGTTTCATTGCCTGGCAACCTATTTTTATCCCTATCTTTATTATATGACATCAGTTGTCTTGTCAATTTCTAATATCGTAATTCAAGCATGAATCAGGGCTGGCCACGAATAAATTGATGACGAGCAGATGACTGCTCACGCAA